ATTATGATAACGATAATACATTTATGAGAAATCCAATAGCTGGTGATATAGATAATGAGTACTTTCAATCCTTTTGTAAAAATATAGACAAGAAAAGTGATATTAAAAGTCAAATATTGATTCCTGATCTTCTTGGATTAAACATCTACGAAAATGCAATATATTTTTGTAGTTCTGTTTCTCATTTACATGATGGCATATTTCTATCATTGAAAAAAGCCTACAAAACTAGTGTTAAAATGAACAAGATTACAAAATCACTAAATAAGCATGCTTTTGAATTGGATAAAGAATTTTCCAATGATAATGACCATCCTAATAAAAAGTCAAGAGTAATCAAATATATTCATCTTTAGGATACAAACTTATATCCTGACAAAGTTAAGCTTTAGTATTCAAGCTTCATTCTTATCAAAACAAGTTTTATCAGGCTAATAAACATCTAAAATGAATACAAAATAATCTTGAAAAATTAAAAAAATTATTCCTATTCCTTTAACAAACTGAAAATAAAAGGCAAAAAGAATTACTTGATGAAAAAATCAAGCAATTAATAAATGATGAAAATTTTGAAAGTAACATTATACACTACTCTATTAAAAGTATTCGGTCAAGCTCTTTTTGATTTACTCATGATCTAATATAATAATATGCATATATTTTAAATGAATGCCATAGTTCTGACGATTAAAATAAATATATTTATATTGTGTTATAATAAATACATCAGATTTAGCAATAAAAATAAACAAAATATTCAATTTTATTGTTATCGATCTTTATTTTTTTTTGGTTTACTGCATCATTTAAAATGAGAAAAACTCATGAATTGAGTGAGTTTGAACGCGAACAAGTTATTGGTCTTAGAAAGGAAGAAGAATAACGAAGGCTTCAAAAATGAATTGTATATCCAAAAAATCTTCATGAACTTGAAGAAGCATTACAAGAAAAATGGAAAAGAATCCCATCTGAAACTATATAAATTTAATTGAAAGCATATCACATCAAATTAAAGCATGCATTAAAAATAATAGATAGCTAACTAAATAATAAGCATTATTTATAATTTAATATAATTTAATAAATTTAATAATAAAATATATTTTTATTAATTGACTGGATACTTTTAATAGGGTAGTGTATGTAGTATTGAATCTTTTCTTTTCTTAATATTAATGCAACAATGTTCTTATGAGAATAATGATATTCTACAGAAAAAATGTAAAATATCTTCTGGCAGATTATCAGTCAAAATAATGATTAAATGCAAAAAAATGCAAGAAAATTTTATCTTTTCAAAATGAATCTCCAGATACAAATTATATAAAGGCATTTGCTACTGCTACATTATATAGTGGATTAAATTGAATTTCAAAATTTAATGCTAACTCTTGGAGTTATCAAATTACCTAGTAAATCCATTTATCATAAATATCAAAAATCAATGAGTGAAAATTTAAAAATTTTACTTTAGAAAATACTAAAAAGGTATTATATGTGCTAGTAAAGAATTCATATATTACAGGATTACTGAAGGCAAGTTTTTATTTTATTATACTCATTATATTTAATAATTTGATTAATATAATTTGTTATTAATTTTATTAATAGGATATACTCATAAGCCAGTTATTGGGTTTTATGTTGTAGAAAAAAGTCATGTTACAAAAGATAAAAATAAAAATAAACAATAATATATCAGAAAAATCATGATGCAAGTTCCAAACAAATGGAACATGCAATACTTATTAAAATATTGGATGTAATAATTCTTATTTTAGAAGAAATGAACATACTTTTAGATATTGTGGTAAATAAAGATCTTGATAGTAATAGAACTTTGCATAGGATAAAATGTGTAAATAAGATTTTTCCTGATCTTAAATATTTAACACGTAACATACGAAAAATATTGAATTGTAATTTATTTATAATATATTCTTTTGTTTAATTTTATTTATTTTGTTATTTTTATTTATAAAATATTTGTTTTTGTTATAGCTAAAAAATGGGAATATTATTCTTGTTATGAAGATGTAATACTAAAATACTATAAAAAGTATATATTTGCTGCAGCTATCTGATAAGAATCCAATAATGAAAATTTGGCACTTATTACTGAATTAGTAAAGTATATACAAGTACATGGATTGACCAAACATTTATGCAATGATCATTCAGAATGTTAGCTAGAGGTGTATTGGATAGCACAAAATCCTAAATTAGTATTTTCTGAACCAAATCTTTTGGATAGTACATCTGGAGAATAAACAAAATTCACCATAATACTTGGTGAAATCTTTCAATTAAATGCTGGTCAAAGTCTTATAACAAATGCTAGAACATCTCAAAATAAATCCTTTAATCAACAAAAATTAAGTTTTGTCTCAAAACTAATTGATTATTGAAAGACATATTCTGTGGTGATATGCTTTAGCAGTTGTTTATAATAATTCAGGCTTATTATTAATATTACAAAATAAATGTCTCAAAAAATGAATTAGTTGCATATTTAAAATATTGAATAAATTTCTGGTAGATGTGAATTACAAAGACAAAGAATCAACAAAATATAAGTATGCATAATGCTGTAGTGTTCAGAAATGACCTAGTCATTTGACCATTTAAATGATTTGTCTATTCCTTTGTCATAATCATAAATCATTTGTCATTTGTCATTTAGTCATTTGCTTTACAAAAAATTTAGCAATACTCTTAAAAAATTGCAAATTCTTAGCGAGTTTCGCAATTTTATCTCCCAATGATAAAGAATCATTCCAATAAAATGATACTACATCATTCCAATAGAACGATACTACATTGTTCCAATAGAACAATACTACATTGTTCCAATAGAACAATACTACATCATTCCAATAAAACGATACTACATCATTCCAATAGAATAATACTACATCGTTTCAATAGAATGATACTACATCGTTCCAATAGAACGATACTACATCGTTCTAAAGGAATGATAAACAAATCATTCCAATAGGATGATAAAAATCGTTCTAAAGGAATGATACAAAAAAATTGCTCCTTAAGAATGATACTACATCGTTCTATCGGAACAATGAAAAAAATCATTTCTTAAGAACGATAAAAGGTCGTTCTATCGGAATGATAAAAAATCGTTCCAATAGAATGATACTACATCGTTCTAAAGGAACAATACAAAAAATCATTCTAATAGGATGAAAAGATCATTCTAAAGAAATGATACAAAAAAATCGTTCTAATAGAACGATACTAAATCGTTCTAAAGAAACGATACTAAATGGTTCTAAAGGAACGATACAAAAAATCATTTCAATAGGACAATAAAGATTGTTCTAAAAGAACGATACAAAAAAATTGTTTCTTAAGAATAATATTACATCATTTTATTGAAACGATAAAAAAATCATTACTTAAGAATGATAAAAGGTCATTTTATCAGAATGATAAAAAAAATCGTTCCAATAAAACAATACTATATTGTTCTAAAAGAACGATACAAAAAATTGTTCCAATAGGATAATTCTTCTATCGTTCTATCAGAATGATGCTTTTAATTATTCCTTTAGAATGATTCTTCTATCGTTCTATCAGAATGATGCTTTTAATCGTTCCTTTAGAATGATTCTTACATCATTCTATCAGAACGATACCTTTAATTATTCTTTTGAACAAAACTAAAAAATTGTTCAATTTTTAGCTCGAGTTTAGCACTTGACTTAACTTTACTGAACTTGTTTGACTCATAATTTGAGTCGACTCATTATATAGGCAAAATTGGGGATTCTGGTGCAAACTCCAAATCTGCTTACGAACCCAGTTTGCTATATGATTTCTAATATCAAATTCAAAGCTCTAGCGCTTTTTTGACTCAAATATAGATAATGTT